TTTCTGAAGGGTCTCGACCCGAAACATCAGCTTTCCTGCTCCTCTGATGCTGCTTGGCCTGTTGTGTTCACCCAGCTCTACACCTTGTTATCTCAAGAGATTTCACTTTTGATTTTAGGTCATCAGTTATTTCCGTATAAAATTAAATCACCAAGACAAGTCATCCTCGGAACAGAAATGTTGCCATTTAACAGACTCTAATGAAAAGATCACGACTCTGATTAACAGCACTGCTTAAACAGTGACTATTTTTGTCAGGCAAGATTGCAAATTCCATCCACCGCAAATCTTCGTGTCTTTAACTCTATACTAGTATATTTCAAATTGTTCAGTCGACATCATTCTACCCCACTGTTAATCCACAGTCATTAAAGTGTTATATAACCTCTGCTTTTGTATTTAATATTCCTTCCAATAAACAGTAACATTCCATGAACTTTCCTAGTCACTAGCCGCACCTGCATACTAACCTTTTCCAACTAATGCATTAGGACACCCAGGTCCGTTCGCATCTCAAAGCTCTGAAATTATTCATGTTACGAATCAGGTCAGACCAAACACCACCACCACCACGACCTTCTCTCTCTCCCCACCAAAAACAAAAGTTTTAAGGAGTTAGACTAGACCCTAACATTTATATTTATTTCAAGGCAGTATTACATATGGTGATATTACATAATCAATTGGCATGTTATGTTAACATCTATACCATAGAAAAACTTCTCAGTTACCTCATTCCTGCCTCAAGATGTAATGGTGTACCGTTTACCAAAGTACCCAAGTACCACAGTTGGATTGTCGATGACTAGATATCGGAACTGCACACAACAGGATAGACTGTTCTAATTAAATTTTCCTTGCCTTAGATAGGCCACATGAAACAACAGAATTTTGATTTTGCTACACAAAATCACATTGCAATAGTTTCCCATCTTCAGTTCCCTGAACCAAACCGTTCTTTATACTGCATCAATAACCAGCTCCAGTCTGTTCAGCCATTGAGATTTTATCACCTACGTCATTGAAATTGTCTTCTATCCCTACTCTGCAGTAACCCATGAATTGACAAACAATTTGCCTTACATTGTAGATTGTTCCTTACAGTTTAAGCAACCGATATTTATACAGAACCATTTATGTAATAATTGTGCTAAAACATTTCACAGAAGCATTAGAAAATTAGCATGACAGTCAACATTACAGGGAGGTGTTGGTCAAACAATCAAATATCGGGTTTAGAATTTGGTTTTAAGAAGCATCGCGAAAGACAAAAGTAGAGAGATTGGAAAGTAAGTACGGGGAGGAAATTCCAAACCTTAGAGCCCAGACAACTGAAACAATGGCCACCAAAGACAAGGCTGAAATGACTGCAATCATCAGTCAGAAATGCTAAGTGGACAATCCATCTCAATCTACTTTTGAGGTCCTTAGCATCAAATATGCCAATCTGGATACTGCAATGACTATGGGTGCTCAATATTCTGGCAACATCACTGAAGACCCATGCTCAGGAACAAGCAAGGTCCCGAGACAAACCATTCTGGGACAGCTACAACACAGGCACACCCTCGGCAATGTGGAAAATTGTCCAGGTAGCTCCTGTTCACAAAAGCAGGACAGATTCAACCATGGTCAATTATCACCTGACCAGCCTATGCTTAATCAAAGTGATGCAAGGCTCATTGATAATGCTAATCAAGTGGCACTCGCAAAGGAATAACCTGCTTACTGAACTTTAAGTTCCGCTGAGACCATTCAACTCCTGACTTCATTCCAACCTTGGCTCAAACAAATAAAAGTGAACTCCAGAGGCAAGTTGGAGGGACTGCCCTTCACATCAAAGCAGCACTTGGTCAAATATGGGATCAAGGACCCCTAGCAAAACTGGAATCAATAGGAAACCTGGAGAAAACTCTTCATTAGTTGCAATCATACCCAAAGAAAGATCGTTGTGATTGTTGGATATCAATCACGTCAGCCCAAGGCTTCCCTACAGGAGTTCCTCGAGATCATGTCCTAGGCCCAAAAATCTTCAGCTGCTTCATCAATGACCTTCCCTCCATTGTAAGGTTAGAAGTGGAGACATTCACTGATAATTGCATAATATTACAAATCACTTGTGAACCCTCAGCTACTGATACCATCCATGCCCATTTATAGCCTCAACAACATCCGGGCTTGGACTGAAATACTAAGTAGCATTTATGTCATACAAGTGTTGTGAAATGACCATCTCCAAGAACCAAGATTTAACCAACACCGCTTGACAATACCATCATTGAATCTCCCACTGTCAATATCCTGGGGATTAACATTAACCAGAAACTAAGTAAGCCATGTAAATACTGTAGCTATAAGATCAGATTAGATGCTAGGAATTCTGCAGCAAACAGCCAACACACCACCTGTTTGCCATCTACAAAAAGGTAGAAATCAGAAACACTTGTCTGGATAGGTTCATACAGAATAAAGATAGCCCTGCTGCTATCTTCAACATTCATAACCTTCACTAGTGATGCATAGGAACACAACTGCCTGCAAGCTCCCTTCTCAGTGCAAACACCGTCCCAACTTGAAACTATATCACCTTTCCACTATCACTGGATCAAAATACTGGGATCCCTTCCTAACAGAAGTGTGGTAACACAAATCCCATAAGCAAACAAACAAAAACAAATCAGCCAAATGAACATAGGGTGCGCAGAAGAAGCCAGAATTACAGGAGCACAGATGCCTTAGGGTGTCACTACACTGGAGAAAAGGGTGTAGGGAAATGCAAGGCCATGGACGGATGTGAAATCAAAAATAAGTGTTTTAAGAGCACCTTGGTGCTTGATACGGGGTCAATCTGGTTCAGAACGCACAGGATGTGATGGGGAATGAGACTTTCCTAAAGGTACAGTACAGGCAGAGTTTTACATACTCTCAAGTATGCAACAGGTGTGGTGTCAAAGACCCGTCTGCAGCATGCAACATTTCAACAGATGAGCCAAGACAGCAGCAAAAATCAAGCAATGTCACTGATGAACGTAGGTGGTCTTAGTGAGATGTGATGAATAGAAGGCTAAAAGCTCATTGTGGGATCAGCAGACTGGTTTAATCGCAGAACTGTTGCGAAGGATAGGGATGAAGTTGGTGGCCTAGGACCAAAGTTTAACTATCTTCTGATTCACAACATTGGCTAAAATATAACAGTGTATTACTTTTTGACAGAATTTTATTCTACCACTTAAAATCCAGATATGTTTATCCACTACGTTCTTTTCAAGCCAGAAATATATCATACTTTCCGACACGATACAAATATATCATTTAACATTTTGACACATTAAGCATTTCTGGCCTGAGATACATAGTAATGTGAATAGCACTGCCATCTATTTATACTTGGTGTGCATTTAACAGCAATGTAGGTTGGTATTGTGGAGCAGGCTCTTAATGCTCCAATGTATCAGCATACTACATTTCAAAATGGAAATTAAGGATTTTGGCCAATAGAAGCATTCATTACCTGTTGAGTCTCTCAAAAGGTTTTGAGCTAGTGGTACATCATGGTTAGGAGTAACCAGAGGTTGAGCTGGTCTCAAAGGAGGACCTGCAGTCGATAGTGGGGGACCCAAAGGTGTCCTGCTAGGCTGGTACATCTGATTTATTGTCTGGCTGACTGGTGGATGACTTGAAGCAACTGAAATTAAATGAAAGCACTTAGAATTTTGACTGCACATACAAACGTATAATCTATTTTGCACAACTTGAAATGCAATTAACTGTCAGATGTTGCAGATCAAGAAAAATTCTCAAAAGAATACCTTTAAACAAGCTTCATATGCAATACTCTTAAAAACTGAAAACATTTGTACGAAACATTTAAACATAGTAAATAGAACCACATCACCGTAACCTTACAGGACAGGTTATGCAAAACTGCACCATTACGTGAAATACATTGCCAAATTCAATAAGTTTTTATAACAGAGGTTGCATTGCACACTGAAAATTATTTTGAAAAATTTAATGTGATCATGAAATATATAATGGCCAGGCACCAAAATTAATTGCTTCTTCAGGCCATTGGGCTTTCCAAATGAATTAAAAGTTAGACTCAAGTTACAAGAGGAAAATCTACAGGATAATCAGCTTATTTTGAGGTAATATATTTCATTCCTCTTAGCTCTATTACCTGGATAACTCAGCATAGCAAGACATGTGATACTAATATCAATATTCTCATGAGCTGGCATTATACATTTGAGTTGATGTTTGATTGAAAATACTGCCTTTTGATGCCTGTTAAAAAGCCCATGGACCAATAACAAATTCTCCAAGGTAGAACAGCTAGACTCATCAACTACAAAAAAAACATGGTTACTGGAGGTCAATTATTCCAATCTCTTAACATCACAGCAGGAGGTCCCGAGGGCAATGTTCTAGTTTCAGCTTCAGTTTAGTTCAAGCTCAACTTCAGTCTCTTCAACAATGACTTTTCTTTCATCAGAAGATCAGAAACAGAGAGAGAGTCATTGATAATTACACAAATTTCAGTACCATTTTCAACCACTCATGATACTGAACAAATTCATGTCCATTTGCAGCAAGATACAGACGACATTCAGGTTTGAGCTTACCTGACATAGAAAGGGGGAAATGCAACCTTTGCAGGTTTACCTAGAACAGATGGACTGCAGCCCTTCAAGTAGGTGGCTAATCACCATCCTCAAGTGCATTTAGGAATGGATAACAAACGTTGGTTTACCTGGTGTCACCCATATCCCATGAAAAAGTAAAAACTGGGCAAGGTAAACACATTCAAAGACTTG